TTTGTTTGTTTTTAAAAAAGAAGTCTGTTGTCATTTGATAATATTCTATTTGTCTTTGAAAGATTGTCTCTCCTACTTAATGACTGTGTCTGTACCCTGTAAACTAGCCTGAGTATCTGGCGGTAAATAGCGACCATAAGCTGTTTTCGTTATGGGGTATAATATGTTCTGTAACATGGCTTAAAATTTGAAATATGATTCACGTGGTGCCTCCATCTTCAACTGCAAACTAGCCCCCTTGCATGCTGAGAATTAACTTGTGGCGCATATCTAATACACTACATGAAGACTCCCTAGTAACAGCACCAACCGTACGTGATGTACGTGACACATCATAGATCACAAGCTTCATTTGCATACTGCCCAGCATGCGGCTTAGTTCACAAATCAAGATTGAACTACAAACTCATCCATAAAGATTTGAAACCATCTTAAGTTTGCAGACATTCATACTAAAACGTATGACCATATCCTGTGACGAAAACAGCTTATGGTCGCTATTTACTGCCAGAAACTCGTGCTAACTGTAAACTAACCTTTTGAAGAAGTACTTTGGTTTGAAATATGCATTTTTCTTTTCAGGAAACAAGTATATTCTGGTTTTCACGGACTATCTTACTAGGTGGGTCGAGGCAGAGGGAGTTCCGAATAAGTCAGCTAAAACAGTCCTGAACTGTTTTGTCCATTTTGTTTGCAGACACGGTGTAGCAGATAAACTTATTACCGACCAGGGGAGGGAGTTTTGCAATGATTTAAATAAGAGATTTTGCAAAGCTATGGGCATCGATTACAGAGTTGCATCACCGTATCATACACAAACTGGAGGCCATACTGAACGATTTAATAAAACACTTTGCATGATGTTGACAACAATACTTAATTCAGCACAGAGTGATTAGGATGATCAACTTCCTTATGTTCTTCTTGCATATCGTACTGCAGAACATGCTTCAACAAAATCAGATCCATTTTCGCTTGTTTATGGACGGAAGGCAAGACTTGCTGTGGAACTTGACATCCAAACCTATCGTGATGGTGATGATTCTTTGGAGTCCTCATTGATGAAACGGAGTGAGGCTTTCCTCGATTTGTCATTCTTGCGAAATGTCGCAAGGAAGAGCATTGAGAAAGCTCAGAAAAAACAAAAGCGGCTGTACGATTCCAAGATTAGACAGTGCACGTTCAAACCCGGTGACAGCGTTCTTTTACATAACTTTCGGAGAGTTACGAAAAAGGGTGGAAAACTCGAAGAGAAATGGAGTGGACCCCACAAAATTAAAGCCATACTAAAGAACGGAACTTACTGACTCGTTGGTATGAAAGCAGGAGTCAATGGAAATAGACTAAAAACATATTTTGCCTCGGAGAAGAATGGAGAATCGTTGGCGTCCTCAAACGATGAAGACAAGCAACATTCTACTGTGACAACTTCACCCACAATAACATCAAAGACACCTTGCCACGATCATGACTTCAAAGGAGAACCACCTCCGTCAACCTCTAAGAACAGGATTGCGCCATCAAGTTCTCCCTACAAGGAAGGGGTCAAAAGATCGGCTATGCGCACTAGAAGTTGCAGGGTTCCTGGACTTGATGAAAAGAAGCTCCTCCCCCCAAAAAGAGAAAAATGGAACTCTCATCAGTTAGTGCACCGCAACCAGAAGAAGGGTCACCCGATGAATTTGTCAACGTTCCAGACGACATTTCCAAAAAAAATCAACAAACAGAGGACGAAGCGTATTCTTGAGTGGATAGTACAAGCTCGCCGAGTTCCTCAGAGAAGGTTGCGTTCGTGCGAACTGAGAGTATACAGGACCATGTACCGCTTTATCCAGTGGACGATACCTGGCAAGAGGAGAAGGCATCATACTTTAATATCAGTGTTAAAAACAGTTTACCTACAATGAAACGATTTGGGATGATGGACAGATCTTGTAAGCCAAAAGGAACTGTGTCAATGAGAGGCGATGGGAATTGTCGGTTCAGAGCTTTCAGCTACCTGTTGTTTGGTGTGAAAAAGTTTCACATGGTTGTTCGGAATCACATTCTGAAATACATGGCAGATCAAGAAGACTTGATGAGGAAAGTTGACTCAAGCCCCGTCAATCGCTACATTGATGAAGCAAACATGTCAAGCATTGGAACATGGGGTTCGGATGTAGAAATCAGTATATTTGCCACGATGATGACAACGACCATTTATGTGTTCAGTCAGTGCGGTATGAAGGATGGACTGACGAACTTTGCATGGCTCAAGTACCCACCATTTATGGGAGTTCAGTGCCTGAAAAGTGCATCTATCTAAGTAATGTTTGCGCTCACTTTGTTCCAGTTCTCAGTGTGGAGGAACCACAATTAGAACAATTCGTCCGCCAACCATACTTTGGTGTAAAAAATTATATTCCCAAGAAATACACCAACTACGTTTCTGATGACACTCTGAACGCAATAGTTTGCGACAACTATGAGGATGAAGCCAAAATGCGCCGTCTGGATAGCAGCGCTTATGTGTATGTGTACAAATTTACTGATCTGCACTTCAGTGTCCCAGGTACAGTGTCAGTAATATCGGACATCGACGCTACATTGTTCAATCTCCTTTGTGACTGGGAAGATCTTCCAGAGAAACTGCCAAAACGATCCCGATACTGCTAATCACAGCGGTGATACGTATTCAGAACATCAAGGGTACTGATTGATCTGAGAGCAATTAGTTCGCTGATTTATGATTCAGAGGCATGGATCTATGTATCTGAAATCGATGTATATGACGTTTAGTGAACTTACAGTAGAGATCTTTCATGGAAAACTTAAAGGTGGTTATTTCAGGAAACTGTCTAGCTTGAATTTTTGGAACTCGGAAAATAGATTTTTCCGATTCCAAAAACATTTGGGTTTATTTTAACAACACATATGTACATGTTTGTCCCAGAGAACTTTGTTTTTTCACTTCTTTTGAGTGTCAATATTCCTGAGAACCATAGTACAGATTTTTCGGTAAACGTTTGTACGGAAGCCTATAAGGGCCACGGTGAAATTTTTCCACAAACAATTACGTATATGAGAGTACAACGTAAGTAGATGAAAGCATTATCTGTATATGAAAGTATCATTTACTAGGATTATCATCTACGTAGATGAAACTATAGAAAACGTAGTTGAAAGTATTATCAACGTAGATGTTTGCAGACATTTTCCACTGTGACACTAATACGCTTCCTACTCGTTTGAATTCTGAGGATATATGTTTCTGAGAACATTTTCTGATGACGCAAAGTAGACGGATGAGCGTACATATGACGATTGTTCTTGACAGCATGATAAATTGTTTTAATATTTCATGTGACAAATGCATCGAAGAACCTCAAATTTTGTTTCTGAGATTTGTAATAAAAACGATGAATCTGAGAACTTTTGGAAGTTAATGTATCTGATATCTTTTAGTAAATATGTTCCTGAAAAAGGTATACATATACATGTAGATGTTTTAGGCAACTTGGAGGACAAACATTTTAGAACTCTTCAAGGAATGAAGAATCTTCAAAATGATGAAACACCAGTTTCTCAGTCTCTCTCTGCACCCACATAATTGCTCTAACACACATGCACCCACCCGTGCCACTTTCGTTCAGCCCGAAGACTGGTGCCCCATTGAAACCACCGTGGCGTAAGGGTTGAATTAGTACACATTTTTCGACATTTCTAAAGCCAGGAACCATGGCAATTTGTATACGTATACGTTAACACATGCCTATAAATGCGTGTCACATCCAACCCTCATCCGGAACACACTGATCAATATTTGCACCAATTTAGACATGTTGCCAAAGATAACAGAGTCTTCTGGTAAGCAGAATAAACCACAAGTCATAATTCAACGGAGTCACTTTTCGACGCGAGGCCCGGGTCACTATTTAATGACTTGGTAAGCTGACAGGGTCACTTTTCAACTGTTGAAAATTGACCCTTGTCTGTTGAAATTTGAGACCAGGTATGTTTTCAACGTTGAATACTGACTCCCGGGTCACTTTTCAACGCGGGTCCATTTTCAATGTCACACTGGACTCCTTTATAGGAGACCCCCACGCAGTGTGCCTCGTCGATTGAGGGCAACTTTAAAATTTTCCATCTTACCCTTATCATCCTTCAACATCGTTGGCGGTCACAACATCTACTGTCATACTGTGTTCCTAATTTGACCATTATTACCATACAACTATTACAAGAAACTAATATTTCTCACAATTTTTGAATTTTTAAAATTATTTCCAAGTATCCCCTACTGTGTCTGAATTTCAAAGTATGATCTGCCATTTGTATCGTGAATGATACATACATTTTGAAATCCGATCAGTACCCGTCTGATCTTTAAGGATATCAAAAACAATAATTTGAAAACCCTTAATATCGCGTTGATATGCTTTAAGTGATCATTAAATCAAATTGTAATGAATTTTTTTGAAATTTTTAATCATTTCCAAGAATCCCCTACTGTTGTAGAAAGTATATGAGAAAAGCCTTGGTATCTTCGAATACCTTTAATAGATTTGTGACATATTTCCCCACACATATATATATAATTTTTTTCAGGGAAACATGCATAATTCCTGAACATTTCAGGTTAAACGTGAAATGTTTCATTAACTCAGTAAATATGTGTACATCCTGAACATTTCAGGAATCATAAGTTTACTGAAATATGATGGTGAAAATTATACATATTTTCTGAAATCATTTTTAGGCACTCTACCAAGTTTCGATTCTAGCCTCCTCAAGAAGTATGTGCAAGATGTGAGCATTAGCAGAAATCCACTGAGGTTGACGCTCTATCCACTACACCGCGGAGGCGGTAGAAGATAGGCAAGAATATTACAGGTGGGCTATAGTGTGTTAAGGAAGTACACATTTTCAATCAACATATAAATGTCAAAATGTATGGAAAAGTTTGGCAGATCTTTCTATTGTGCCAAGAGCAAGAGCTACAATTTAAGGATACTCACCGTTATCCCTTGAGACATGGCGCCAGATGAGAACATCTAAACGTGACAATAACACTCGTTTCAATCACAGTTCAGTTTTATATTGGAATATTGCGAATGTGAATCCTAATTTTTTACGAGACACAACGTCACACAATAGCTCATCGGATATCATGAGTTCGATAGACACGCGCTTGAATTTATAGTCACGCTCTTACCTCTGAAGGTAGCAATGAAATATTGGAATATCTTCCGAGGAACAAAAAAACAATTTGTGAGCAAATAAATATTAGTTTCAATAACAACCGTCATGTTTGAAACATTTTATAGTGAAGATAATATTCTATATTATAATATTGGCAGTGAAAAAGAACATGGAACTGTTAATACTATTTATTATTAATTTTTACCGATTTATGTTCCAAGATATGATGGACAACATTTAACCACTTTAATATATCATGATTTATGTAAGTTTTTTTATTGAGTTATTACGTTTTTGTATGTCGTGTTTGTTCTTTATGGAACAGACACGTTCTAATACACACACATGTGCTAGTTGCAATTCATTTTGGAACAGGTGTTATAACATTGCAACTGTTACTCACTTCAATGGACTTCCTCACACACAGTTTTCAAAAGATATTAAATTTATTTGATATAACAGGATGGCGAAGATATACACACCACTGCATACATTAATATATCATGATTTGTGTGTTTAATTGAGTTTGTCTATGGCTGATGCTTTTTGTGTTTAAATGGACACGTTGTAATGTGGACATTTGTGAGGGTTGGCTGACAGTTTGCAGACGAAACCACTCCTCAAGTGCATATATCGGGATCGGGTGGTCAGGCTCGCTGACTTGGTTGATGCATGTCATCGATCCCAATTGCGTGGATCGATGCTCATGATATCAATCACTGGATTGTCTGGTCCAGACTCGATTATTTACAGACCGCCGTCATATAGGTGGAATATTGCTGAGTTCGGCGTTAAACAACAAACCAAACCAAACCAATCATGAAATTAATTATGCCTCCCACATTAACGCCAGCAGGCATGTAATGCTTGCTTCCTGTCTGTCTGTTGACTGAAGAATGTGGGATTCGGTTAGGTGGTGACCTGCCGCTGTGCAAAATTAAACAGAATAGACGCCGGGCCTACAACAGACAACGGGTCAATGGCTTGCGCGAAATTAATAGATGCACGAACGTCCGGTGGAGAAAACACGGTGTGTAGGGTTTGGGTTATGTTGCAAAATTTGAAGCAGGGGTTGCGGACAGAAATCTTTCCGACTTCATATGTGCTTGGTTTGTGTAGGTTTGGACAGAGTGAGCTGTCGGGCATCGGTTCGAAGTGGAATGATCCGGGTTCATTGTGTAATCTACTCCCGCATTTTAGTAAGATCCCCTGAGATCGCAACCCTTGTTTGCTCGAGAAGAGACCGACGGGATCGGGTGGTCAGGCTCGATGACCATCGATGTCAATCACATAATTGTTTGGTCCAGACTCGATTATTTATAGACCGACGTCATAAGGCTCAAAATCTTAATAGTTTCTGGTTAGATTTGTTTGTGCTAAAATGAAACTATTGTCATCAGCAGTACTCCTGTTTCCTGGCCAGCTTGCAAGCCAAGAAATTAGAAGTGTAAGGGCAATAAATCAAACGAACATAGTTTTATGACGTATGTTTTTCTTTTCATGGTGGGGTTTACAGAATTCAAACCCTTTTCCCTAAACACCGTGTTTGTTGGTTTTACGTCACACTTAGCAATATTCATTTAATGAATCTGTTGGAATGAGCATAAACAAAGACCAGGTGAAAAATAGGTGCATCCGTACATTACAACACGTCATAATTAAATATAACCAAACACGAATAGCATCGTATTTCATACAAAACAACAACGCATATGACGTATGCCGTCCTCATAGCCTCGTTCTGAGAGTTGTCGCACGCGGTGTGAGGAAGAAGGTTGTGTCATCATGGCTTAACGTTTCGGTAGTCGATGGTAACCACTGTCACTTCGTTGTCACTGGTGCTGAACAGATTATCTGTGTCCCCTTCCTAATTGCGGTGTTATCTCTCCATTACCCTGTGCAACGTACATAGGGATACTACACTCATTCGACCCGTGAAGATTCCGGGGTAGAATAGGTCTTCAGCAACCCATGCTTGCCGTAAAGGGCGACTATGCTTGTCGTAAAAGGCGACGATCGGGATCGGGTGGTCAGGCTCGCTGACTTGGTTAATGCATGTCATCGATCCCAATTGCGTGGATCGATGCTACTGATATTAATCACTGGATTGTCTGGTCCAGACTCGATTATTTACAGACCGCCGTCATATAGGTGGAATAGTGCTGAGTGCGGCGTTAAACAACCAACCAACCAACCAACCAACCAACCAACTACACTCATTCTCGTTAGATACCATTTCTACGAAACGAGTGGACTTTCTATGGTATCTGACCGACCAAAAGCGATGTCAGGTACCATAGAAAGTTCACGAGTTTCGTAAAAATGGTATCTAACGAGAATAAGTGTGATATTATATTTATTACCCACGTTAAATATGTATGTAAGTGTAAATACATAACAACTTTGTTCGTTGAGACCAAACTGATACCGGTTGCAAAATCTGGTTGCGCATGAATATTGATATACACTACTGCCTAGAAGTTCATTCCCCTTACACGCATGGGCAACGCGTTACGCAACCAGTGTGCATCGGGTTGGTCACGCGTGTGATACCCGTGTGCAACGCGTTGCACACGGGTGTGCACCCCGTCCGCCACTCGTGTGCAACGCGTGACACACTCATTAGAGGGGGAACAAACTTTTGACCAAAGGAGGACCCGTCTTAAGCTGAACCTGGAGGTGGTAACAAGGAGAGAAAAATTTGTTATCCTGACGAAAAATGATAATACACATGTATTTGCTAATGTCTCCTTTCTTTATGTGATTTTGTGGGAATAACATGAATACTGTTGTGTTTAAATAGACCTGTCTTGTTTTATACGACCATTGCTTCTAAATCCGATGGTGTTAAGAGAATACATGGTCCTGGAACATGTTATTGCAATTGAAATGCTTTTATTGTGATTTGACATTAACCGTCTGTAGTACGACTTTCAGTGATAATATGTATGAGGTTTGGCGGCGCATTGTTTTTATTGGACCCTAATTACTTTATGATGACTTGGACTCTTTATCTCAGCTCCATAGCCGTGAGGCTGGGAAAGAGCAGCATGTAATTAATGAGGGTGGGTTATATCATTGAGGATACACTTGAGGGAGAGAATACTAATTACCGTACTACAGGAAGAGACCTGTAGACGTAAGCGCGGGGTTGTGTTTTAGCTGGCCGTTCGATAATGGCCGCCAGGAGAAGTGAGCTTTGACTGCGTCATCTAAAATAAATAGTAAGAAACAGCAGTGTTATTTTCACGGGTCTGTTGAATAAACTCCTAGCGCTACGGTCAATGTATCTTCTACTTGATCCTTGATACATCATTTTGACATTCACAATATATAGTAATTCAACGTACAAAGGAGCACTGATCTAAAGCAATTCCGCGGGAGTAGTTGTTCCCTGTGCATTACTGTATTTTCCCAGTGAGTACCCGGATGATATAGCAGAAATCTAGACTTGTTCGCGACCTGTGCTCGCCATTCGTAAGCGCATTTTTATTGAAAGTAGAAGGACGTATGGTCACATTGATCAACAAAAATGAAAAATACAGTTTTGGAAATGTAGGTATATTTGTGGGGAGCATCGGTAATGGTGATGCAGTTTTGGTAAGTCACTTGCTTGGTAATTGTGCGATCTTTGTGTACACTATTTTGACTTGCAACACAAAGTAAATATTTCATCTGAACATTGCTTATTTTACCGTGTGTATATGTTTACATTCAAAATGTAAACATATTTCACTAAGGAAATTTATTAAACGCCTAAATATTCAGTTTATTTTACAAATTAACTGAAAAATATGTCCATCGTTATTAATATGATAACGAATTCCAAATATTTGTTTATGTTTAATATCATCACCACGTACAGTTCTGTATTGTTGAGCTTCTTTTCTTAGCATAATTAATATATTGTGATGTGTTTAAGCTCTTTTGATCGTCTTTATCATTTTTAGTCTGTCGGTTAAATAAATGAATGGATTATTCAGTCAATTTGTAAAATGACTGAAATATTTAGATATTTAATAAATTGCCTGAGTGAATCATATTTTACACATTGACTGTAACATATACACGCTTACAAAAGAAAATACTTGTGAAAACAATGTCTATCGCGCATCGAAAAACTTCCCAACCAAACGGAAAGGAACAAGAATGATTCTGTTCAAAGCTGCAGCGAATGAATGAAAACAAAATGCAAATATAATTATTACAACCTACCAAATAATGTATCCGGGAATATCAACATAAAGGAACAATATCCATTGCGTCTGCAGCTGTACAAAAATACTTATTCGATGTCAAATGTCTATGTGAGAATCAAATACTTTAATAATAATTATTTGGAAACAATATTTGGAATATATATGAAATATATTAAAATATTTAAATATATCGTTTTAAACGTTATTTAAATGTATCGAATATTATAACCCGTGTCTGTTTCTTAACTGATCACTTAGTTTGTTTCAATTGTTTCACAGAAGAAGAAGAAGAAGAAGAAGAAGAAGAAGAAAATTATTTTATTTTCGTGTCACACACTGTACAGCAGTGACAATAAAAATACACAAATAGTGTGTACAGTGTCCGGCAATTATGGCCTACGAGACACGCAGGACGTCACATACATATGAGTAAAAATGAGAAATATCACAGTACATACATATACATAAAAATGAGTTATCACCGGTTATCACCAGTTATCACCAGTTATCAGAACACTCTGATACTAAGATACATGGAACTAGGCTGGTAGAGACGAAAGACACAGTTGTCTTCGCTCATACATGTGGTGAAGAAGCGCGGCTAGGGGTCTGACCACCTTATTGTTCCGCATAAAGAACACGGTCTGATCGGCAGCGGACATCTGTATAAAGTTTGGATTTGATTGAGAAGCTAAATTCCATAAATCATAGCGTAAATCTGTATAGAGAGAACATTCAGCAAAAAAGTGTATTTCATCCTCAACAGCATTGCAATTACAGAATTTACACATACGTTCAATAAGCGGTGTTTTCGGGCGGGTGAATCTTCCCAATTCTATTTCTAATGGCAGTGAGCCGCAGCGAAACTTACTTAATATACTGCGCTGACATCTGTTCATCAATAAACTGACATAGGGTTCTACTGATAAAGAATCTTTAAATAATCTGTATGTACGTAACTTATTACCATTTACCTGGCCCGTATCGTTCCAGAGTCCATGTAACCAATCAGAATGGTCTAAGGATAACAGACATACTTTAGACAAGTTAAACTCTTCAGTAGAAATATTATTTAGATCATAAATTGGTAAATGTAAACTGACAAAGTAGTTGAAAACTGTATTATTCCAGGATCTACAGAATTTTACTGACCATCTGCAAATAATACTCAGCATTCGGGATTGATCTGCAGCATGCAAACTGCGCCAGAACCGAAGAATTTCAATCTTT